TATACTAAATATATATATATATATATATATATATTTATATACCTTTTTCGTATGGTTATGTAAGGTGTTGCTGCTGTTTCGGTGAGGAATTTAATACCAGGTAGGATGCAATGCATGATGGATGGTTATTCACCTACATAGCTGTCTCTAGGGTGACTTTTATCAAACATGTTTTTAGAAATATAGTATTTTATTGCTGTCATGTTATTTTAATGATGTATTCGGGTAAGACTATCATCTTGATGGGTCTGTTTTGAGCCACTATAGAAACTTCTCTATATGCCAAGTTGCCAAGTTGTTAACTAGAGGTTCCCCCTTATATGGGAAAGAGAAGAGGGCTGTTATCTTTACAAGGTATCACATTGGTTGAGTTTTTAGGTTGTTGGATTCAATTTTTTATAGGATTTTTTCCTTTGATTTGTTGGTGATTTAATTTGTATATGTTTTATATGTGCACTTTTTTTTTTCCCCTTTTCTATTGAGCATCTTTTGTAGTCAACTTTCAATGTATTCTCTTTGGATTAAATGTATCTAAATTTAAGACACATGTTTTTACGGTAATTTTTTTCTTACCAATTTATTTTAATGAAGAATGAGGATAAGAGTAATTATTTAAAATTAATTTAACCTTTCCTCATGTATATCCCATTTAAAAAGAATTTAGTTTCATTACTTAAATATTAAAAATTAGATAATATATATTTCATTGTACATAATTATTTATTTTTATGTTTTTCATATATATATATATATATATATATTTTATAACTAAGAGGTATAACTTCTATTTATTTTAATGAAGAATGGAGATCCGGAGTCATTTTTAAAAAAATTAATTTAACCTTTTCTCATGTATATCCTGTTTAAAAAGAATTTAGTTTCATTACTTGAATACTAAAAATTTAACAATATATATTGCTCTGTACATAATTATTTATTTTTTATTTTTCTATCTTTTTCATATTTTTTTTATTACAAGGAAGTATAACGTTTTTTGATTTGAGAATTGGGAAAAATACAAATGTCAAACTATTTGTGTTAGTAACTTTTAAGTTTTAATTATCTTTTTCATATATGTATACTTTAAATACACTCCAAAATTAAAGAGCACATTCTTCTGTTCAAAAATATTATATACCAACTTTTTTTTAATATTATTTATCAAAAACTCTTAACAATAATAGTTCAACACTTTTTTTTTTAATTTTTTTATTTATCAAAGGTTAGGATTTTGCTCATGCTTGAATTGCAAGTCGAGATTGTATATATTACTTTATTGTTATAAGATTGACATGGTGAAAAAAGAATTATATTTATCTTCTCATTAGAGAATAAAAATATACCAAGTAATGGTTGGAAAATTACCTGAACTCCATCAATGACGCAGCGGTCTCCAATATCAAAAGGGTGCATGACGAAGACAAAGATGATGGCCTCCAATACAGTCTTGCAAGTGCCTTGGAAGGCAACACCTATCAAAACTGTTTGTGTAATACAGAATAATATAATCTTCAGCGTAGCCACCCCCATCACCAAAAGCATCACTATGATTATTATCACACTAACAATTCCACTTGCTATTTTGTGAAGCTGCTGCACTGCTGTTTTCGTATCATTCAGTGATTGTGCTAGGGCTTTTCTTTCATAATATGCTCTAATCTGAGATCAAATATTTATTAGAGTTTCATTCTGATACATTATTAATTACTGTTACATTTTTTTACACAAGTGAGTACTGCTATAAGTGTGAAATTTAGAGTGAAAACTTACCACCCAATTTCTAAATGAAGACCTGCTGATCTTGCCCGTTTCAAGAGCACCTTCAATCAGTGGAAATATGGTATGAATCTCAACCCTCTTCAAAAATCTCATCAGATCCTCCTCTTCAATATACCTTCATAAGTTGCAAAATACCATATGTTTTAATTAATCATTTCATTCATCAATTATTTGTCAATGAAAAAAGTCAACTACCATTTCAAATTGAATCTATTTAATTGCTTTCAAATATTTACCGGAAGATAATGAATAATGACACTGTTGCACTAACTCTAACGTTTTGTTATCTTATAATAATGGTAGTAAAGAAAGTAAGGACAGCTCAAAGTGAACCTGCCATCATGAATACTAATACTTATAATTAATTACTTTATCTTTAATGATTATTCTCTTGAAAATATGAAACATGGTTCACTTTTATCAAAATAGGATGCTTGAATTTTGGTGCGCTAGCTTCCTTCCTAGGAGCCTATAATTGGGCAACTATGTTTGGTCCAATTGGATCCATCTATTGGAGATACTCCTCTATTGTTAAAATATTATTATATATGTATAAATGAAGAATAATTTTTTCTTTAAAAATCAGTTTTATAAAATTATTAGTTTAAGGTTATAATCTACATTTTAATATAGTATAAAAAATTAATCTAATGAATATTGTTGCTTAAAACACCAGCTATTAAAATATTATTAGATCATCTACAAATATTTAATCTTGTTCTCTCGAGAAATCCAATTTTTCACTATAAAACGAGCATGTTAAAAATGTTACATCGATTAAGAATCATACATGTGCCTCACCATAATATTTATGGTCCCATTTTATACTTCATGTTATAGTATATACTAGGAATTGTTGAGCAATGCTTTTCTTGGGCCAAAATAATGGACAATGGTATAAAATATCTGGTCTTAATGCACTACACTAAAATTATTTTTTTATAATTATTATTTTATGTTTTAGGGACCATATAAATAATTATTATTTATTTTATCAACAATTAATAATAACTTATTCAAAATCGTTAATATTATTATTGATATTTATATATAGATATTAGTAAAGATTTACTAAATTATTAAAAGAAATAAATTAAAGTAATTACATATTAATAAATAATAAATTAATAACTAATATGTATTGACTACAAAATTATATAATTTATGATTTAGTGACAATTACATTCTTATCTCACAAAATTGTTATTAAGTGTTTTTTTATTTTATAATAGTGGTGGGACAGTACATCAACATCAGTAGTGCTTGCGCACTATATTTGGATGCAGAAATGGAAGATCGATCACAGGGTATATATGGACAGAAGGTTGTCGCGTTACTATAAAAGAATGTATCTGACAGAGCACTATTAATGTGCCCAGTTTGATGGCCTAAAACAATAACCCGTTACCTTAGTGGGGGAGAGACAGAAACTGTGGTAGGGAGCAAACAGGACCAAATTGAATTACAATATTCTAAGTGTTATTATTTATTTCTTTTACATCATTCTTTGATTAAATTAAAATGAACCATAGACACTTTTTTATTTCATTTTATCTCTCTTTTCCTATCAAATTATATCATCACTTATAACACTTATATTTTTCTCTCTTTTACTAAGTATTCCAACAGTGCCAAAGTATATCTTTTCCAATTAAAGTTTGAGTTAATTATCTATACACTGCCAGTATAAAGTTTTTTATATTGGCAACTAATCATATTTTTTAAATTATTTTATTTTATTTTTATTTTATTAAATAAGTAACTGACATGATACTATTAAAATATATGATTGATTATTAGTGTAAAAAAAATTTTACATTGACAGTGTATAAATAATTAACTCTTAAAGTTTTACCTTAACATTTCATATAACAAAAATCGAAAATGTTTTATGGATACTTGCGATAAAACACCCTTCCAACACTCTTTAAAAATTATTTAATTTCTCATTTTTTAAGAAATTAAAAATTAAAAATATTCATTTGACTCAATATTTTTGTCCTGTGAATGGGTGTCCTACATATGTCTCTAAATAACCATGTGTCCGAAAAATGGAATCCTGCAAAACTTTAGATAAGTTTTCTTTATAAGGAAGTATAATTTTTGTTTTTATTAAATCGTCTTTTATAAGAATGAAGAGATACCAATATTGGGTCTATTATTTCTATTTCCATCACAAAACAAATAAAAAATTTCATGAGTGGTAATGTAGGGGCAGGTTTATTTGCTTCTCCCTCTGTTCTTCCTTTTGCGGTATGACGTAGTGCGACTGAGCATAAAATGTGGAAATGGATGAATCGATAAGTAGTAGTAAATACACGACGAATGGACCACGAAATTGGTTAGGGTCACAACTCACAACTCAACTTAGACTATTTTATGAGGACCATGAGGACCACGTTAAAAATAAATAAATCAACACAGGACCAAACCCACAAAATATATAGTGCTATGACATCTGGGCCCGAACGTGCACTTCTAAAGCTGCAATATCTGATGGTGCAAATCCCATTCACCCTCTTCAAATATTGTAGTTGTAGTTTACGTGGTCACAAACATTTTGGTAGACCTAGCCGAAGTGACTAACCCTAAACCCTAAACTTTTCTAATTGGGTTGACCCTTTTCTTGTAGCGTTTGTTTGTATTTTCTAAAGGATGAAGATATTTAATCACTTATACTGTTCAGTGTCCACTGTCAGTGGCTTAGAAATTTTCTGTCATCAAATACTGAATTTTTAATCTAACAAGATTTCGACCACGTTTTCTAGGTGCCTTAAATTAAGAAAGGATACAATCACGCTCACTCTATATTCACTTTTACCAAAGAGTGGTTTGACATGAAGAAAATATATAGATGATCACATATATTAATGTTGATACGACTTATTATATATTTATATAAAATTTAATAATTTATTATAAATAATAAATTATGATTAGATGATATTGTAAAATTATTTTATATTGTTAGTATATAATTTACTTTCTCTTGTATATAAGCATTTAGTTACTTTAAGAGTATAAGTTTTAATAGAATTTCACTCAATAATTTATATTTTATATCAAATTTTAATCATCAAATTATTAAATTAAAAATTCTTAATATATTGATCAAATTTATAAAAATTTTAAAAAGTTATTTAATATTTTATATATATATATATATATATATATGTATATGGGAGATTTGTTAACTTACACTATCTTACTTTTTTTAACTAGAGTAAATTAGCAAGCTATAGTAGGACACATTTTAATACAGGTAACTTACTAATACATGCTCCTTCGTATAAATGAAGTAAATATATGTTAGCAAGTCTCATAAGTATTTGCTTTAATTATAATTATAATTTGTTAATTTATTCTGATTAAAAAACAAGGGAGTGAATTTAAGTTGACAATTACTTATTGAACCTTTTATATTTATAGTATTCGTCGTAATTAGTTTCTAGATTTAGTTACATATATTAGTGAAAATCCCATAAAGATGAAGTTATCTCTCCTATGTCCTCTTTCATGTTCGTTCTAAAATGCATTATACAAGATTCGCAAATCAAAATCTAACTTCCATGATAACTAAACTGAAAAGACATGAATTTGAAGAAGCAAAATGAAAAAAAGAGTGATACGAAATGCACTTACTTGGCCCCAGGTTTGGCAACGTTCTTGAAAATCCTCTGGGCGCAGTTTCTAGCTTCCCACTCACTACTAATCTCAGACTCGGCGTTGCCAAAATCATCCACAGTCCTTGAAATGGTGGACAAGCCCGAAGACCTAACATAGTTGACAAGCCTCTTGACGCTCCACGCGGACGCAGTGCTCTCCATGCTCAGCTCCCTCAGCTTCTCCATGTCAATCCTCCTGGACCCGAACTTGTTGGACTTGTACAAGTTCCTGGCCTCCTTCAGCTTGTTCCGCCTCGCCGGCATCGACTTGGACCCGGCGAGGCAGTGCTGGAGGAGTATCTCCTCGGCGTCCTCCATGGGAGGGCCCGAGAGAGTGTCTAGAATGTAGTGATGGAAGACGCTCTCCTTCATTCTGTCGAAGTAGGTGGTGACGTGGAAGGAGGAGGCGAGCATTTTGACCAGCACGATCTTGACCAGCCATATGGTGGCGCCCACTAGGACCGCCACCAAGGCCTGGAAGACCTTGTTGAGGAACTTGTGGTTCTTCTTTTGGACGTCGTCGAAGACCACGCTCCAGTAGGAGAGTAGGACCTGGCCCAACCAGAGACAGTTTCTTATGCTGTTTCGGAGACCGTAGATGAAGTACAGCACCTTCTCTCGTAGCATGAAGTTGCGCTCGATCATGAAAACCGTTACACCAACCACCCAACCTGAAACCAAACCATGATTCTACACATTCATCTACTTGTTCGCTCATAAACTAATCATTGTTTACACACGTAATTGAGTTTGGATTCTGTATTACATGAAGATTAATTGGGATGTGTTGGAATATGATGAAGCCTTACGTCATTAAATCATGAAAACAAATAAAGATTTATATTATATACATAATTTCCGTTAATATGAAATTTTTTGAGAAATGATTAAAAGTATAGTCACGAAAGTTTACACTCAAACTGTATCATATAAGTGTGTGAATCTTAAATACTCAACAATGGTATAAAAATCGATGGTAGACGAATATTTGATAATTACAGGTTAAAAATTAATTGATATACCTATGACACTAATCACTTGAAATTAACTAATAATTTTTCTCGTTTTAGGAAAAACTTATTATTTTATCAGTGTACTCCTAATTAATCCATAGATGACATACTTCAATGAAATTAATTCTTTTGATAAATTAATTACATTCTAGGACTCAAATACATGACTCATGAGTATATGGATCAACTGGTATGAATTATTTTGATTTAACCAAAATTTTAAGTTCAAATCCTAAGTATCCAGATGTTTTAAATGCTTAAAGAGAAAGTTTTATCGTTCATAATAATACTATGAGTTAATCACATATATACTGTTAGTGTAAAAAAATTTTACACTGACAATCAACTATATCTCTTAATTGTACCATGTCACTGTTAAAAGTAAATGTGTTTATAATGACATGACACAATTAAGAAATATATTTGGTTGTCAGTGTAAAAAAACTTTATACTAACAGTGTATAGGTGATTAACTCTAATACTATCGACTCAAACAAAAGTACCTCCATCAAAAGATAAAGCAGTTATACCAAATAAAAAAAAAACTCCATTACATATTATACAGAGATTAAATGAAATCATAAATATTTAATAACTTAATGCTATATATATATATATATATATAATATATTTTTTTTTTTTTTTTTTGAGATAGATTGCCGTAGAAGAAGACATAGATAAGATGAAAAATAAAATATGTAAATGAAATGAAAAAAAAAAGGTAAATAAATTTACCTGAAACCAAACGGCCACTAAATGTGACCATTACCATCAAACACCACTTCCAAATCTCCAAACCCCACAGGTGCATGTTGGTTATGGAAGATATAGTCAAAGAACACACCAAGCATGTCAATATGTTGAGGAACAAAACCCACTCCACCAAGAGCCTCCACTTCACTTTGAACTTCCTCTTTTGGTGCAACTTGGGGTCGTGCTCTGACCCATCCTCCTCCGTTTCTTCTTTGTCCCACTCCCAATCCTCATCATCGTCTTCCTCGTTGGAAGATAGCTTGTAGGTGGGTTGAATGAGGTCACCTTCTTCGGAGGTGGCAAAGAGTTTGTTGCGGGGGGCATAGTTGTATTCTAGGATTCGGGATTTGGGTTTTGAGAAGCTGAGACGGTTAAGGGTTTGGGCTCTTAAGGGGAGTTTGGGTTTCTCCTCAAGATTTTGGGTCTCCATGGAGGATGGTTTAGGTATATGCTGGTCGAGGGTGATGACAACTTGGTCTGAGGGCCTTGTTTTCTCCATTTTAGGAGGATTGGGAAGTACGTAGTAGTGGGCACACTGCTCTTGCCTAAGTGGATATATATGAGAGAGGAGATTTGAATCAAAACTTATATAGAAGCATGTAACTTATTTGCATTTTTTATTTTTTGGTTTCCAACTTTTTTTTTTTTTTTTGAAGAGAATCATTGATTCCTAAGATTTAGAACGAAGTTAAAAGAATTCTGAGACTAATTTCAGGTAACTCAAACTTATTTTTGCATGTGCGAGAGTAGTTTATGATTTTTATATAAATTGATCGTTTTCAAATTATTTTAATAAATTTAATAACTAAATTTATGAATAAATTATTATGCTGTTAAATTTTTTTATTAAATGAATATACTATTGTGACTTTTTAACATATTAATATAATAGAAGAGGGATTATTTATTTTAAAAGTAAATTTTGATAAAGTTATTTTACTTAATAATTTACATTTTATATTAAATTTTAACGATTCAATAATTAAATTAAAGGTTCTTAATATATAAATTTTAAAAATTTTTGAAAAATATTTAATACATCCTTATATATTTTAAACACACTCCCCATTTTACAATTTTCTCATCCTTTATTACGCCTGTCCTATGATAACTAACGTAAATGAATGATGAAATTTTTTAACATGAAGTAGTAAAAAATGTGGTACATTCATGAAGCATTAATTTTAATTATTAGATTTAATAATATAATAATAAACGGTATAGATTTATTAACAACAACTTGAAAAGAATTACTTTTGTGTTTTGCAGATTAGTCCCAAGTGAAGGCAGGGAAAGTGACGTTCTTGACATCAGAAACATGATACAAGGGACTCAACCTAGATTGGACCTCCATGTCCTTAGCCCTTGACGCCGGAAACATGATAATAGGGACTAAAACCCAGATTGATGCCTGAATCTTAATGGACTTGGATCCGACGACGACCTTGCAAAGGGAAATGTAGTAGTACTCTCTGTAGGCGGAGTTATTGGAGGAGGCGTTGTGGTGAAAAGGCATGTAGATGAGGTTTTCTACTTTGGTGTCTCCAGTGGAGATGGTTTGTAGAAGGAGTTCGGTGCTTTGCAAGGGGAGGGATTGGTTGCCGCTGTCGAAGTCGAAAATATCGGAGGGCTGGTAGATGGAGAGGATGAAGCAACCGACGAGGAAATCGGGGTTGGACTGGTTGCCGACGGTCGAAGCCAACGATGTCAGAGGACTAATAGACGGAGAGGATGGAGCGAGCCCTATTTAATATAGGGACTATTTTGCAATTACAAACAAGTCACAAAACTCACTATTACCGGTCAAAAACCATCCTCACCCATATACCATCAACCTAACTTATTCACCTTAGAAGCGATCATGAAGGATATGGAGTCAATCTTTTTCTCTAACAATGGAGAAGGAAACAAAGTCGGTCCTTGATGCAACCGATGAGGTATTGCTCTAAAGATTGTGCATGTACTTATTTTGGGGAATTTCTCGGTTTGTGCGTCTATACTATTCATTTTTCCACCTGACGTCGCTTGTCCTCTACGCGCGCGCCTCACCATCGGTCGTCCTCCGCTCACCTCATCGTTGTAGTGTGTCGCCTCGACTGTTAGCCTTCGTGCACTTTTGTAGTTGTTGTCGCACCATTAATTGGTGGTCATCCTTTGCTCATTAGAAATTTGTTGCTTTTAAAATAATCCTCTAATGGCAAGCATAATTTACCGAAGTAGAAATAATGGATTGAGTCCAGATATTCGATTCAAAGGATTAATTGCGACAATTATCAATCTTCTAATAATTCTTAATTGTGTGAGATAACTCAAAGGATTTTGGAGAGTATTAAAGCAAAAAATTGCATGAATTGTAAATTAATTAAATCACAGAAATAATAACCCTAAAGTTATGACTTAATTGTCCCAATTTCTCCAAATTCAATTTATGTGAATCCTAAATCTTGATTTCCAATTCTATCTTTGAAGTTATTAATCACTTTTGATCATTGAAATTAACAATTTTTACCTTACACAAATCTTCAATTAATTAGTCATGTAAAAACTTATATAGGGAAAACTTTGAAGAATAGAGAGGTTAATAAAATTAACTTGGAAGTTTAGAAAACTATATATTTTGGTCATGCAAATTTCTAAACCTAATTATCCTGTTGTCCCATTTATTAACAGTAGGGGTGGGCAAAACGAACTGAACTGAACTGAACTTATAAAAACTATACTGAACTTAAAAGTAGTTCATATGAACTGAACTAAACTAAATATTAGTTCAGACGAACTGAACTGAACTATTTTTTTGTGTCATTGAACTGAACTGAACTATACTATAAAAACTTGAACTGAACTGCAATTTAAACTGCACTAAACTGTTATGATATGTTAAATTGAACAATTTTGACTCATTGATCTATCAAAATAGGACACATTTGTCAACTTTACTTTATTTTCTATTTTATTTAATTTTTTCGAAGGAAAAAAATATAAAATTAAGTCAAACAAACTCGGTGAATTTTAAACCTAAAAATAAGTAGTTCAACATAACTCAATTGATCCGTTAAGTTCACAAAATTGATATAATTTTTTTTCAAATCACTTTTTTTTCTAAAATTTTGGTTATTAGACTATCGAGCTAATCTATTAAGACATAACATGTTAAACATATTTAATTTTTATTCTTTTATAAAAATAGTTCAATTTTTATAATTCAGTTCAGTTTTTATAGTTCAGTACAGTTCAACTTTACAACAGTTCAGTTCAGTTCAGTTTTTTTTAAACAGTTCAGTTCAGTTTTTTTTACAAACAGTTCAGTTTTTTATAGTACAGTTCACCACCAGTTCAGTTCAGTTCAGCTCAGTTTAGTTTTTTTTGCCCACCCCTACTTATCAGATATTGGTTATGTAATCAACTATTAAAATACTCGTATTGATAAGTTCCTTGTATGAAATTAAAATAACAAGATAACCCAATCAATAACTAGAAGAATTAACTCAAATTGATAATTTGGGGTTCAAGGAGTACAATTACATCACAACCCTACTAAGGAATTTAACCAAACATTATAGAAAGAAAATCTTAAATTACATGACTACATTCCATGAGTACAAGAGAAGACAATTAACCAAATTGCATAATCCTCTACCCTTGTAGTGAGCTCTTATCTACACTACAAGTAGAAAAGAAGACATGATTGAACTTCGGATTATTTTTAGTAACTTACTTTCTCTTCTTTGTAAGTATTTTTTCTTGTAAATATTTTCTTAATTTTAATCTTATATTTTTTGATCAAGTAGTGTAGGAATTTATTATTTTCTTGTAATTAGTATTTTCAGGGTATAATTAATATTTTGGGAGGGGTGTAACTAGAAAAGGAGTTTTGGGTTTATTGGGCTTCAATGACTCATGAGAGCATCGTCTGGATGCATAACCTTTGAAGTTGAAATCCACTTTTATCTAGACAAGGTGGTGGACGTCCAACTTGTGAGAGACCAAGTGGTTAGATGTCAACATCAAAGGAAGGACAAGATGTCTCATTTTTCATTCAAGACTCCAACAAACCAGATGACCTTGTCTAGTCACACCTTTGGTATCTTATCATGTGGCCAGCTCCCATTAGTTCTTTTAGTCTTAGGATAGTGACATTCCAACCATGTAACTAGAGTTGGTTATCTTGAGTACAAGTTAACTAACTTTGGTTACACTCGTAACCAATGTTAGTCTAACTTGCATCACAAGCTACCAAACTCTATATATTGGTTTTCCCTAGTACTTGGGCATCACTTTTGATTAAAATTGAGAAATAAACTTGAGTTTTTCTTTTCCAAAATTCTTAGTTCTCTTCCTTGGAGAAATTCTCTCCCTATGAACCTTTATCAAGGAATTCTTCTCCTTGTGAAAAGTTCTTCACATTCTTGCTTATCTTCACTTAAAGCGGCACATACCTCCTTCTTCTTTCTCCATCATTTAAAGATTTCTTTTGGCTTTGGAGATCTATGGAAGAAGATTAGGCATACATTGATGTTAGTTGAAGAGAAGTATTAACCATCTCCAAACTAGTTTCATCACTGACCATCATAGAAGATAGAGAGAGTAGAAGTGATGGAAGTACTTGAGGAGGTGATTGATGTTCCTCTCCAAGCTCCACCTTCAAGTCCCAATCTAGCTCTTGAGGTCTTCAATGGTGACTTTGATGAAGCCAAAACAAGCTCCAAAGCTTGTAGAAGTAACTTGAGGAGGTTCGGTTTCTTCCTTGAAGAGGAAGAAACTTGAGGAACCAAAGAAAAAAGGAGGAATTCCTTTGTTAAGAAGCTTAGGGGAGAAGTTTCTTCTCCATGAAATTTGACACTCTTGAGAGAGAGAATTTTAATGAAAAATTCTAAATTCATATACTCAAAAGTCTAAAGAATTCTACCTTTGTGCCTTGGATGAATGAAATCAGAATTTCTAAAAGAATTCTCTCTTCTCAAAGTCTCAAAACTGTGGAGAACAAGTTTTCCCTAGTTCCTTCACAAAGGTTTCCACCTTTGTGCCTTGGAGCTTCCATCTTCTACTTCTTCAAGGAGTAACCGAGAACTCCTTAATGCTTCTTCACCATTGTAGATTCTTCAAAGGTGATTCTTCATCATTAGCGTGTCTAACCTCAAGAGAAGAAAGGGATTGAAGGTGGAACTTGAAGAATCATCAACCGTTCTTCAAGCTTGTTCTATCAAGAAGGAAGACTCAAAGGGAGTGAAACCTTGGCTTTCCTCTTCTCTCAAGAAGATCAAAGTACTCTAAGGTTTAAGGGGATTCTCCTTACGGAGAAAGATATGCACTATTCCTTTGTTATGTTAGAATCACAAATTTAAAAGATCCTTTTAGTTCTCTATAATTGATAGTCTTAGAAAACTAAAACTTACAAAGGTTTCTTATACATCAGCCTTTCCATGGGTTTGAGTTGGAAGCGAAAATACTTATTTATAGTTTCAACTATCATTTCTAGGTTGTCTAATGATGCAGGTGTGTCCTTAGCCTATTGATAGCCTAATAGCCCCGTCACATTATATTCTATCTAGCATACATTTCATTTTTCACGTAG